GCCAGCAGCCGCAGTGAGCGGCCATCCAGAAGCTGGTGACTGATCTGCCTCGCCCGGGAAGAGCGCAATGATGGTGCCAACTTGGGCCAGTGAAGCCAAGTCCTCCACAACTAGACTGAAGAACATAACGACAGCAACTTGTCTGTTCCCCTTCCCCCGATTCCCCAGCACTGTTCCCATCCCCCCAATTCCCCAATAAAAATCTTTAAAAAAAAAAATGCTACAAGCTTTATGATCCCATTTATAGGACGTCCTCGGATGGCTGAACTACAGGAATGAAGAGCTCAGTGGCTGCCTGGGGTGGGGGCGGGACTGACTACAAGGGAGGGCAGGAGGGAATTCTCAAGGTGATGACCTATATATATTTTAAATCTTACCTATGGTGGGGGTTACGACTCTGTGTTTATCTAAACTCATAGAACTGCACACCAATAAGAGTGAATTTCACTGTAAATTCTAAAAAGTAATTGAAAAATATGAAGTAAAAAAAGGGGAAAGTTGCAAAATGGTTAAGCCCCTCACTCTGGACTCAGGCACTGGCTCTGCTGTGACTTCCTAGCCCCAGACATTGAGCAGGCCTCAGTTTTCTCATCTGTAAAATGGAAATAAAGCACTCAGCCTAGTACCTGAAATACAGTCAGGGCTCAATGAATCTTAGCCATTGTAACAATGATAACAATGCCCAGAAGTTTCAGAAAACAAAGGCTTCTATTGCTTTTAGATATTTGTAATCTGAACTTAAAATGTTTCTTCAGAAAAGAATGAAAATAATTTACTTGGCCTCAGACTGACACTTTCCCAAGGGCAGGGCTCACCCACAGGTCATCACTGATGTTCGCAGAAGTGCAAAACCTTAAGGAAAAACAGTGGGGAAAGTTTTTTAAAAAGAAGCTACACCCTAGAGAATTAACTCCCAACTGTCTGCCTCAATTTATTTCTAATTTCGATTGTGCTGATACTCGAAGCCATGAGATCTAGAAGCAGCAAGTGGTTATGAGGCGTTTCCCCTTATAGAATCCCTTCACACCAAGAGAGGAAATGAACAGGTTAAATAAGGAGAGGTGCTAGACCAAGGTAGGACTAAGTTTGTTGAACTCCGTCTTCAAGGTTGAGGGAGAAAAGAGCAAGCCGTCTCAAGGGCTCCTGTTGGATATTTGCTATGGACAAAAGAAAATATTCATTGTATCCTCAAATGGCATAATCAAGCAGCATAAGTTATCGCTATCATCTGAAGACATGCTGAATGCCAAGATTTGTAGATACTTGTGTCACTGAGGCCATCGAGATAGGCAATACAGATGGAAGTCCTCCCTCTAAAGGAGGAAAAACATGGGAAGGACCAAAACAGCAATATAAGATGAAAGGGCAGGATCAAAAGGAGATTTCAAGGTGTGCGTGCTGATATTTAAGGGTGGGATTCTGAAACTGAGCTCCTTGGCTATAAATGTCCATACTGTGGGTCCGACAACCCTTACCATGTCTTCCCCGGGACGCCACATACCTGACTACACGACAGTCAGCCTAGAAATGTGTGGCAGGTAAAAACTGGATTCCCATTGCTGGAATCTCGTCCGGTCTTGTTCATGCCTAACAGCCCACTCTTTAGAGCGCTGCCAGTGCTAACAGGTTCCCTGACCATCACACCTGGAAACCACACCAAGCTCCAGCGGTGACACTCTGGATCACAGAACCCTGGAAGCCTACACACTCTCGCTGAACTAATGTGTGGCCCCACTTCCTGAAACAACATCAGGCCACTTGGCTGTCCAGTTCACCCTGACGCTGAACCCCCACAGGCTGAAGGCTCGCCAGGAATCAAATATATTTGCTCCCAAACATATTTGCCAATTATATTTGTTACCATAATCACACAGTTGAATTAACATTACATAAATCAAAGAAATATTAAAGCAAGAAAGGGTTGTTATTTCAACAAAAACCAAATTAAATTTTTAGAAAGAGTTGATAGTGACAGATGCTCAAAGCAAAAGCAAATAGAAAACAAATTTTTTTAATTAGGTGTAAGATAACTGCAAAAGACAGGGAACAGAATGAACGTCTGGGAGGAGTCTGCATTCAGATTGCTTTTATTCATGCTCTACTTGGAAAAATACCAATACTGGAAAATAGAGACAATGAATTGACAGTGTGGTTTCTGCAGGAAAGATACAGAATTTAAATTAGTGGACCCACCCTGTTCAAAGAAAAGATGATAGGATAGAATCAAACGACAAAGTCAAAAATAGTAAAATGAACATGAATTCGTATTTTATGTGAAAACAAAGGGTTTCTGCACACACATACATCTTGTAGGGATTCTCTGCTTTACCTGACCTCTGGGTCAGCAGTCCAGAGTAAACCATGTTGGACAGGAGGCCTTCTCCTGCATTAAAAGCAAACCGCAGACCTGTGGGTGTGCTTGCTGCATTTGTACGTGTGTGTGTATGTGTGTATGTGTGTGTGTGTGTGTGTGTGTGTGTGTGTGTGTGTGTGTGTGTGTGTGTGCATCCACCCTATTCCTGGGAAGAGACGCACAGACAGTGGTCACCTCTCTGGGAGGCTGGGGCCAGGGTTAGAAGAGAAACTCAATGTCACTTCACACCTTTTAGTGTGACTAAGGTGTTTTATCATGTACATAAATTATGTTTATTTTTATATACCTGTATGTAACTTAAAACAAAAAGCTAGTCAACTTTTAAGAATAAATCAAAAGGAAAAAAATAAAGAAGATGTGCGATTGGAAACACGTTAACACACAGGGGTCGTTCAGGGATGGGCATCAGCATATATGATTCATGTCAGATGCACACAGAATATTAGCCTCAGGGGTCTGTAAAGCAACAAAGGACCAACCTTTAAGGTCCCTTCCAGCTGATTTTATGAAATGCTAGTTTACCTGAGTTTTTACTAAACACTCCCAATCAGTAACAGCCTTGAGGGAGGGCTGGGTCAAGGAACAGACCGGTGGCCCAGTGTCGGGACAGCCTCCCTCCTGTCTGACCCACACCCTACCAGAGAGCAAGTTCCCCGATCCACTTGCCTACACTCAGCCCTTTCAGTCAACTCCACAAGTATTTCCCAAGCACCTACTATATGCTGGGACCACTCTGGGCCCTATTCGCTAGCTGCTTTAAAGGCAAAAATCGACCTCTTCAGCCCCTTGCTCATAAATCCTTTTACAGTTCACTTCTCTCTGCTGGTCATGTGACGAGTGCTTACATGTGGCCCCATGCAGACTGCCTGGCTCCATCTCCAGCCCTTCCTAAGCACATCCCTAATAGTCTGGTCACACAGATGTGTCCCTTGCAGCTGACCCCTGTCCTCATCCCTTAATTGTCAACAATGTCCTATTTCAGGAAGCCCCCTATACACCCCTGAGCCATTTATCTGAGTTCCCTTAACTCCCCCATCACATTCCTACCAGTGCCCTCACCACCTGCGCTGAGGATACCCACTAAACACTTCATTCATTTAACAAATACTGAAGCAAGTATCCCAGCCAATCCCTGCTAGCAGGGAGGGATCTTTGATTGCAGCAGGGGAAACCAACGATAAAGTTAAGAGCTGCACTGCGCTAGACAACAAGGAGAAAATGAGCAGGGAAGGGGTAGGAAGTGTGTCGATGTGTGGTGTGATGGAGGACGTGCCATTCCAGACAGGAGTTCAGGAAGGCCTCATGGAGGTGGCATGCAAGTCAACACCTGAAAAAGACCAAGCATATGGGGTGGGGGGGCTGGAGAACCTTAAGGGGAGGCAGGGGCAAGCTAGGGGTATGCCAAAGGAAAAGGGAGGAAGCCTGAGAGGGGAGCCTCCAGGCCTAGAGTGCAAGAGGGACTGGATGGGGCAGAGGAGGTGAGGAGGGATCCAGGAAGGACTGGCTTTCACTCTGAGGGAAGCGCTGAGAGCTTTGTCACAGGAATGGACACGTGGAGAGCCCTGGGCAATCTCATTTTGAGGAGCAGGAAATCAGTTTTCTTCTGGAAAGAAGGTATGGTCCATTCATATCTGGCAAGCAGGCCCACCTCAAAGAGAAGAACAGACGTCCCTGTACCTTCACAGTGCAAGTTCTAGCTGAATTCAAAGCTTTCAACCTCAACTTTCAGCCTGCATAGGACAAGCACCTGCCTTGTAACCTCCTGGTCTCTGGAGCAGCAGGAAATATACACACGGCAGACTCCAGGCCCCAGACTTAAGGCAGCCTCTGGGGTAAGGGACCTCAGGAATCCAGAACCCCTCTCCTCCCAGCAGCATTTGTCAGCCAGTGACCTGTTTGTTGAATGGTGGACCAAGCTCCAAACTCACCTGTCATACTTTTCTGAACACTACTACTTCCCTTTAGAAGTTTAGACCATTTTATTGCTCTTCTAGTGAGTATCACCAGGTAAGTGGAAAAATATTCTTCATAAGCTGCATAATCAAAGTCTTCAGGTCTTTCAAATCCATATGGATCAATCCTACAACACAAAAACAAAAACCCTGCAACCCCAGAATAAAGTTCCGTGCGCACGTGCGACCTGTGGCACAGAGCGACCGGGCCCAGCGCAGGGCCCTGCCTCCGGGATCCTACCCCCGGGTCCTGCCTTCTGGTCCCCGCGTAGGGGGCAGAGGGGAGCGGCGGCCCGTCCGAAACCGTGACCGACACACGCGGGGCGCACGCTGGTCCATCCCCAAGCGCAGAAAGGGACCGCAGGCCGAGCGCAGCGGGGGCGCACCCAGCCCACAGACGCGCAAACGTCGGCACCTCCACCGCCGCATCCTTCCACTCCCCGCACCCCCAAATCCTGCACTCTCCCAACCTTATATCCCCGAATCCCACACCCACGACTCCCACACGCCCGTGCTGGGCGAAGGGCGTCCAGGTTCCTTCGCTCCCACCTGGGGACACGGTCCCGCGCCGCCTGTGCACGCTCCGCGGGCTCCATGCAGAAAAGCTGTGTGGCTGCCCTGACTGCGGCCGGGTAAGGGTGCCAAATCCACCTCCCGGGACTCCGGGTAGCTAGAATCCTTCCTCCGCGGCGGGCGCCGGGAGGCGGTGCTGGGGGGGTGGCGCGGGGGGGCGG